AGCTCGACAATCTCTGAAGTCACATATTCTGTTTGTCAACCACTGAGAGGTCAACAAATGTGAAATAACTAAACCCTGCATGCTTATAGGTTTGTAAAAGTTCTTTTATTAGATAATACACCCCAAATCATTCACTATCACAACCTCCTAATTTCTACATTATAGCTCTAGTACATGGACTAGGAGGAACTTTTGTGATGATGAAAATTTTCTGGATTATACAGATATGTGATAGTAAGATAGTCATTACTCATGTGTGACTCTTTAGCTTCTCGATGCAAGCCAGGTCTTGCTTATAGCTGTATTGTCAGTGCCCAACACACGGTAGACGATCAGTGAGAATTAATTGAGGTAGTAGATATTAATGCAAATCAACAAACACTGAAATTATTTTTTTTTCATTTGTAAAAAGAATATGAGCTCAAGCTGTCAAAATTTTGCCATTGTGTGTAGCTTTGGTTTCTTTTGCCTCAATGTCCTCAGTTACAAAAAAAGAAATTATGTGTTCTATTGAAGTGTTATATGAGATGGATTTACTCTTTTAAGGATTACTTATGGCATTCTGTGTGCTCAATAAATTTTAGTTAATCTACTGTTTTTCTTTCTTAACATTCTTGTTTTTGTTAAGGTAAAATTTTAGAAGTCTCCAAGCATTTAAAAATTTAGTAGTCTGTCCTTTGATAGTGATATTTTATGAACATTAAAACTTAGTGAAGGATAAAATAAGTCGTGTTTAGGGACAGAAAAACTGGAATCAGATTAGGGAAAACTATCAAATGTTAGTGATTCAAATAATTACCAGAAAAATCTTCCCAAATTAGTAATAAGCTTTAGTGATTAACCATTTCAAAGTTTTGTTTTTTCAATTATGTAGAGACAAACCATCAACAAAATTAGCTGAAAGAGTACAATATTTGGGGAAATTTCTTTAAAGAAGATCAAAACGTGTCTATTGCAATATCTTTGTTCATCACATACAAGTTTCCAGGGGGCTTCCAGTCCCCTTAGGGTGTTCTAAGCATCCCTAGACTTATTTTCCCATATTCTAAAAATATCAAAGCAGGAGTGCCTCTGTTCAAATTCTGTGTTCCAATGTTATGGAATATGAATCAATTAACTGCAACTTCATGTGGTTACAGCTCAGTGAAAAACAAAAAGAGAAAGCAAATTGAATTAACACCACTGACTCCTGAATAGAGTTAGCGGCAGCTGCGGTCATACTAATAGTCATGTCATAATATTTGATCCTTAAAAGATGCCATATGGTCCTGTAACTCCACTGAAGTTAAAGAAAGAAAGAGAAAGAGAGAACCCTGAGAAGAAAATTTCCTTGCCCACATTCACATAAAAAATATATCTGAGGATAAAAATTAAGTTAAATCACTTCTACTTTATTCTACTAGATTCCTACCACAGATTGTTTGATGAGTATTTGTATTTCCAAAAATCTGTTTATAATTAGTTGATTAGGATTAAGAACACACTTCCCAAGATTTCAAAAAAAAAAGTATTTTGAAGGTCATTGACTTCCCATAAGCAACCTACAGTCGCATAGTTCTTCTCTCAGTGTGGTGGACACTATGTTTATATGGAATGTACTTTCAATGGGGAAAAAAGAAAAGAAAGATTACTTGGAGAATATATGAGAAATATCCCCCCACCCTGAAGCCTGGCAGCTTCTGAGCAGAGTTGGTCTTCAAACCCAGTCTTAATAGTGGTTTGCTAGTGCCTGGCTCTAGAAGAAAGCTGAGAAGTCTTCTGAAGTTATTTTGGAAGAGTAGGGGAATGTAGGAGGTTAATGGGATCCTAAAAGTGGGGAGGGATTGTGTCCATCCCTAAAAGCACCTAAAGAAAATTTGAAAACGATAATTAAATGGACTGGACACTAACTAGGCAGGTTGCTTTTCACTAGCACTGTGAGCTGGCAGTTCTAAATATATCAATGATGAAGTACTGCTTCCTAAAAAATGAAGTTAGCCTATATTTTGAACAGTGGATGTGGTTACCATTGCGATTGATTATACAGGAAACTAGCACATTGTGGTTACTCATCCTATAATGGACTTCTTCTGGGCCTTGTCCTCATATCAAAAGTCAGTTTCAGGTTTTCTTTCATTAGTAAATTCCTGCCAGTTGAAAGGCTGACCTCACCAAGGGCACAGCTCATGCGTTTGACCACATGGGTCAAACGCATGAGCGACATCTTTTAAAAACTGAAAATAATGGTTGTGCATGGTGGTGTACACCTGTAGTGTCAGTGTTGGGAGGCTGAAGGAGGAAGATTGCAAGTTTGAGGCCAGCTTGGGCTATCTAGTGAGTTTGAGGTCAGCCAGAGCAACACAGTGAGACTCTGCCTCAAATAAAAAGATAAAAAAATAAGTATAAATAAGCAATGACAGCACGGTGGTTATAAGAATAAGAAAGGAGAATTCAATTCTGTCATTCTTTCTGACCATGCTTCAAATAGTGGAGCAGAATGTGGCTGTGAAGTTAACAGGATTTTTGTTTTGTTTTGTGGTTCTGGGGGTTAGACCCAAAGCTTTACTCATCAAAAACCAAGCACTCTCTTACTGAGCTATATCCCCAGCCCAGTTAACACTTTTGTTTGGCCAGCTCCAGCTGCCCAAGTTGTTAACTGGCTAAGTGATGCTCTGTGCTGGAAGTTTTCCATTCCCTTTTTCTTTTTCCACTCTCCTAACCTGTATCCTTCACCTCCCTAAAAATCAATTAGTCCTCAAATCTTTGTCTCAGAATCAGCTTCTGTGAGAATCCAATCTAAAATATAGTGCAACAACCTTATGCTGAATCCTATTGCTCCTGTTCCTGGCACTATAGTGGGCCGGTCCAGAGCCTTTCATCTTCACATTCACCCCATGGATTTCCCTACGGCAGACTCTCTGGGAAAGATCCGAGGAAGCAGCAGTTGTATGGATATAGAAAGGCTTCCATTGCATGTGTCTACATCTGGAGAAAAAGTCCCAGGTATAATGTGGCTCTCAATGCTGCTGCAGTTACCAGCAGCAGAGTTGAATCTAGAGAACAAACACAGTAGACAAAGGGGCCAATGTCCACTATATGCAGTGGTTTTTTCTTCCTTGAGCAACTTGTCAGTTCAAATCTAGCAAGTTCTAAAAGGAGACTCTGGGGTGGGTGCTTTGGAAACAAAAAAGATTAGAAAACACAAGACACAAGCAGCCTAGGAAGTAGGGGAGCAGCTGTAGTCTTTGGATCAGAAGGTTCAGAGGGACACACCTATTAAGGTACTCAAGGAAAGAGTGACAACTATATTCACCCCCTTAGACTCTTAGATGAGGCTGTTATAGCAGCTGTCAGCTCTGCCTGCAAAACACCGAGAGGCTACTTTCTCTCACTTCTCTCTAAAACCAAACCTCCCTAAACCCTGAATATAAGTCATCAGAATATAAACCCTGAATATAAGTCATCAGAATGTTCTATATGAACCTGGGTAAACATATATTTATAGATTCATGGGTAACTTTAACAGACAAAACAAATAAGGACTATATAACTGGAAAAACAAAAAATGCTGATATGATATGATGTCATCAATAAATCTTTATCACATATTACTGTTAAGAATTCATGGACTCCAAAATGCTTAAACTAACCTCAAAAGAGATGGTTTACCTGTCAAAACTGATCCCCCTCAAAATAAATCTGTTTCTCTGTCAGTATGTGCAATGATAAAGAATTCTTGAGAAATAAATGGACTTCCAATGATGTTTAAACTTTCCTGAGTAGCTGCAACCAAAAAAATGCATTTGCATGTGTAAACACATGGCAAATCTGCACTGTATAGACTCTAACTTGGGGCCAGATGTTCTTCTGTGTTTCTCAGCTCCTGACTTGCTGAACTCTGCCTTACTGTAGCTAATGTGTGCAGGATGCAGACATGTGCAAAAGAATTGTTCTGATCTACAGTTTCCTCTGAGTCTTGAAGTCAATGCTTGACTATTACCAAAGCAGCACAACAATTGGTCGGTGACTCAATATACAGCTGCAGTATGAACTCAAGGCATGATTCACAAGTGATTCTTCTTCTAGTAAAGCTGCTGACAGAATTCTGACAGGGAACCCAATCTTTAAGGGAAAAGTTGACCTTGGCTATCAACGCTAGGTTTAAAAGAAAAGCAGACATTTATGTGTATGTACACACAGTCACACACACACACACACACACACACATTTAGAAAGAGGCAGAGAAAAGGGCATAGAATAGATATTTTAAGAGAAAAAAGAGAGAGAGAAAAATAGAGAAACAGCTGGATGCAACCAAAACATCAGAATATACTGGGAAAGCATTTTGTCCTGGCTTGTCAGAAATCCAGAATTTTATTTTCTGCTTTAAAATTTAGTGTTTAAGTAAAAGAGACTTGGGTTTGAATTGTGGTTATGTCACTTAATTGTCCATGTACTATTCCTTCTCTGAGCCTCAATCAAACGAATAGTATGTTTAAGTTGTGGGAAGAGTACATAAAATATTGCATGAAGAGATCACAACTCTAGGAGCTCATAATAAATGCTTTCTTAAGTTGTATTGTCCACATCACATAGATTTAGCCTAAGTAGCATAATTTGCATCAAAATCAGAGAGATTTTTAAACAAACATACATGGAGGCATGCAACCACATTCTGCAATAATATTATGGGCACAATTTTAGAGAACTTCATTTAGAAGCAAATGCATGGAAATGCATAAACATCTAGAAATCATCTAATGGAAAACATATTTTAGGATTTTATTTTATTCTATCTACCTACCTATTCTGTGTGTCTCCACACACACACACCTGATGGCAGGCCCTGGAAACCCTCCCTCACCCTCATGTAAGTGACATTTTACTTGTTATTTTTATTTTTTAATGGCCAATGGATAAGTTTTCTGCCACCTCTCTGTCCCCTGCTGCAAAAGATCTAATCTGTTCAGAGGAAGATAATTGCAGAGCTGTTGAGACAAAAAAGAAATCTTGCATCTCACCACTGTTGTGCGCCTCCAGCTGTGAGGCGGAGTTGACAGCAACCTTGCATAAGGAACAGTAAAGAAGCCTTTTTGCCTTTTCTTCCTCAGTCTCTGTGGAAGGACATGAGCTATTGCCACTGGCTGTCGTGGGGCTTTTTTCCACTTTGGAGGTGATCTCAGTTGTCATAACACTGCTTTTGCGGATTTCCACACTTGTCGTCGTTGATATTGCTGGTGTCCCTGCAGTACTGTCTGCATTCAAAATAGCACAGGAAAAGGGGGAGGAAACAGTGGCATTATCTTTCCCTGTTTGGAAATGTATCACTAACATTGCATTCTGCTAATACAAATAAAAGCGGCTAATAGTCACTGCTGGTCAACTATGTATCAATCATCTCTTGAGGCAGTTTACATAGATGATCACATTTAATTTCATATATTGAAATAAATCTGGTCATTCTTCAAAATGTGACAAATAAAATTTAAAAATATTCTATGGGGTGAACAAGCATACCACAAATTTCAGTTAACGTATTGTCCAAGTAAAGTAATATTTATGATGTATTGTGTTCCCTGTTAATTTATTTCTACACTGATGGCATTATAAAAATGAAGATAGAGGATAAATGCCTTTAAAATATTTTCCTTTTGGCTTACTACTTATCTTTCTATTTTCCTTTCATATTTTTATTTTAGAAAACAATACAGATATTTTGGCATATGCTTAGAAAAAAATAGAACTCTGATATTATAATTGCTGTGTTAGCTAAGAATTACAACTCAACACCCAGTTGAATTACATCAATGTTTGAGAGGAATTCTAGTCTGGTGTATTTATTAAATGAATGCTCTTTATCAGGCTACATGCAGGAAATTTGTGGCAGAAACATTTGAACATTGAGTTACTCTCAAGGAATTCAGACTAGTCATACCATGTTCACGTCATCATTTCAGGAGTTTGATGACCATGAAAGTGTTGATGCACTGTAATCCAACAACCTTTTTGGCTCTGAAGTTTGATACTAAATCTGGAGAGACCAATCTTCAAAGTAAAATTATCTCGTCCTAAGTTCACTTGGGTACACACAATTTCCCTCCCAAATGTGCCAACATCTGGTGTTAGCAATATTTGTCATACCCAATAATAATTTACAAATGAGCTCTATAGTCATATCATGTCTATACTTAAACTTGTTTCTTCTGCATCTCAGCTGGTTTTTAACCTCTTATCCTAAACACTCCCAAGCTGCCTCTCTAGCAACAGCTCATCTTGGAACTGGCATTCTATATGTCATTCCATACGCTGCTATGGTCACACAGCACACTGAAAAGTTGATTATAAATGGATCTGGCAGTGAGTATATGAGGGACAATGGTCTGCCTGCAAGGTGTGTTTACTTCTTATTATACATGTATGTGTGTATGTATGCATACATGTTTACTTCTTATTAGTTCATGCTACCATGGGTTGATTGCAGTTTAGTCCCCTAAACTGCTTTGTAACTGGAACATTTCCTTTGATCCAGGTGTAGAGGTGGAGACATGGCTTGAGATTGTTTATCTGACTTTCCTTAATATGGAATCAGAAACATTAGGCAGTAAGAAGAAAAAAACTTCTCTTGTTAAGGGCTGTTCTTAAAAGGAGTCCTGGATCTTGTTTCCTTTGCCTGACACTTCAAACACTTTTGATCACTTATTTAGTACCTACTATCATTAAGTAAGTCTCCTTCAGTGGACACCGAATGGAAAATACTTGCCTACCAAGTTTTTTTTTTTAATTTTGCACTGCAAATCAGTGACTTGCTGGATAAAGAAAAACAAAATTCCTCCTTCCACTCATTTTTGACATTTGAATACATTCATTCACTTGAGCACTAAGTTGTCCACTTTCTGATTAGCTTTTATTTGCCTGCTAAGTTTTCATTACTAAATTGTCGGTAAACAGCCTTAAAATATCTCTGAGAATCTAAAGGTGGCATAAAACCAACAACTTTAAGATGGTCTTGTTAGATTCCTTGCCCCAAGTCAAAAGCAATGATTAAAGCCTGTGATAAATAGCTAGTAGCCAATTCCCTAAGTGTTTTATATACTTGAAAATAATGTTATACACTTATAAAATAATTTAACCTTCACACAAAACTATGAAAATCAGGAAATTCCAAAAGCTAATGTCACACAAATAGGATATACTTAGCCAGGCAAAATATTTCATCAAATGTGGAAATCAGGGCTTTTGTAAAAAAAGAATGCTATAAATGATAACCTTGGCCATGACTTTGATTGTTCATAGTAAGATCATAAGCAGCAATGGGTTATAATCACTCAATTGTTCTTATAATCAGCTATATGGGGAATGATAATGATAAATACAAATATTGCATTCAAACTCAGTGGGCTGCACAGTGAAGCCAGTGTGATACTTTGGATATTTACTTCATTGAAATCTACCATGATAAAGATTTCCCTAGTAATAACTCTGTCTAATAGTGTTTCTTCTGGATTGACACATTTATTTGATGCCTTGATCTGAAAATGGTAATGTAGACCACAGTAATCCTAAAATATCTTTCCTGCTTACATTGAAATTTGTTAACAAAGGTATAAAACAAAAGCATGGATCTTCCAATCCCCGACAGCTACATTAATATCTCTGCTCACCTCAGAAGATGATGTACATTTATACCAAAAACACCAGAAGATTAGAGACACCAGATTCATTATGCCCAAGGTTTAGAGAAGTGTTAACATCTCTTTAGGCAAGTTACTTGCTTGAAACAGGCTTAGGGAATTAATATCATAATGCTTAGCTTCCTGTACTTGTATTTTGTGGCATACTTTTAACCATATAATTGAGCACAGATATATTATTTTACAAGCTTGAACTTAATTTTAAAGAAATACAAAGCTATATTTTTCCTTGTAAATTTAACATGTAGATCTTGATTTCATAAAGATAGGATTAGTATTAATTTATAACAAGATGTGGATTTTTCTCTTATCTTTGTTTTATCTGTGATAAAGGGCCTTTTTTGGTGATACTGTGCTTTGAACTCACGGCTTTGTGCTTGTGCTAGGCAGGTGCTCTACTGCTTGAGCCATGCCCCCACTCTAAAAAGGCCTTATTAAATAAAAAAACAGGAATTCAGATTTTAAGATTATGTCTTATCTGAAGAAAATCAATTGTTCTATACATTGCACACAAAATTACATAGATTTGCAAAATTGCAAAGAGATTTTCTTTACTATGACACACCAAATCACCGATAATACAATTATTATGGATAATTTTTATCTGGTCATTAAGGTAAATTCTTAAATGGATGATCATGTCAACAACAGATAATGCGATTAGGATGACCTGTATGGTTCTCCTCCCTTAACTTCATAATCCCTGTGTAGTCATGAGAAAACATAAAACAAACCTAAATTTAAGGGCATCCTACCAAATTCCTGATCAGTGCTCTTCAAAACTAGTAGAGTCACCAAAACAAGGAATGTTTGAGATGAATGCAGGGGAACATGAGGAAACATGACAATTCAATGTAATGTTGGGGGTGGGTGCTGGTGGTACAAGCCTGTAATCCTAGCTACTCAGGAGGCAGAGATCAGGAGGATCAAAGCTTAAAGCCAGCCTAGGCTAATAGTTTTAGAGACTCTATCTTGTTTTTCAATACAGGCCTGACGGAGTGGCTCAAGCAATAAGAGCTCCTGACTAGCAAGTGTGAGGCCCTGAGTTCAAACACCAGTGCCATCTAAATAAATAAATAAATGAATAAATAAATAAATAAATGCAATGTGGTGTCCTGGATGGGATTTTGGAAGTAAAAGAAGGATGTTTGGCAAAACCTAAGAAATCTGAACAATGTAAGGGGCTTAGTTAATGATTTATCAGTATTGGGTCATTAGTCTTGACAAATACATCATAGCAATGTGAAATGTTAACAATAGGGAAATTAGGTACAGGGTAGATAGGCAATGGTTACATTATTTCACCTTTTCCATAAATCTGAAAACATTCTACAATTAAATATTATTAAGTTTAAGAAAAATAGAACTAGTCACTTTGTTGAATCACAGAAGGGATCTTAGTAGTTTGAAAGCACAGCTTTCTTGATTTTTAGATAGGAAAGTTTCAGTACTTTTTCAAGGTCATAGTTTTCTCTGAGGTGAAAACTAGGAGGCAGCATTGCATAGCTCATTTCCAAATCTAGAGCTTGTTATCCTACACTGCAATGACTCATGCACTCAAATGTCATTCCATCAACCTTTATTAAGGGCTATTTTGTGCTAAGTTGTATGCTAAGCCACTAGGGATAAGAAGGCCAACAAACATAGATCACGTAATTAGTGGCACAATAGTTTATGAGACATCCCATAATGACTTCAAATAATACTAACTATAAACCTAATTCTTAATCTGTTTTGTTTATCATTGTACCTTTGCACCACATTCACCAGCACCCAACAGAATTTATTAAAATTCTGAACAATAATAGCTAAGTATTGTGAAGCACTTTGAAAGCATTTACAGGTATTAGCTAATGCAGTCCTCATAAAATCCAAAAGGTGCATCTCTCATTTTTATCCTTATCTTAGAGAAGAAGTTGAAGGATGGAGAAATTTAGGAGCTTGCCCTAATGCCAGAGCTGTCAGCAGGTGACACAATGATTTCAACTCATATGGTCTGGCTCAGTTGTACATAGTCTTCATTTGTTTATTGCTGAAATCAAAATATTTTGTAAAAAATTCAAATTACTTAGATATATTGCTCACACAGAAAGATAACATGATAAGCATTTGACTTTAAAAGAAACTGAACTTGGCCTGAGCTAAAGTCAATAATGATTGTCTAATCATCCATTTATGCTAAAGTACTACACTTTGCTCAAATCTAGAAAGAGAACTAAAGGAAAATCTGCAGCTCTCAGATCACCTCTCGTGCAGAGTGGTAAGAATAAATCATAGCTTTCTTTAGTGTACTTCCCCCCAACATACAAAAAAATGAGAAAGTAGGATAATGATTCACTTTTCTCAGTGTTTCCCAAAGGCTGATTCAGATTTCTTTTGTACTATACAACCAATGACTCCAGAACAATGTATGTGATGGGGAGTTGAAAATAAGGGTGATATTCCGTGGGAAAAGAAAAGCTTGCGATGGTTTGGGCTCGTATTTCTGGGCCGTTTTTCTTCCAGTGCCCTGTAGCAAATATTCACTATTGCAACTGTCACTGTTCGAATTTGGCATTAAAATAGATTGCTAATACTTTGTGGAATGGGGCTTTAGTTGAGAATGACAGGAAACATGTCAGCTTTCAGAGTGGCCCTTTTGTG